GAAAAGGGGAAGTTTCTGAACGACAACAAACACACTGTCGATATCACCAGTGACCATGATAAAATCAAGCCAAGAACTTTCTGAGTCCAAAGGCACATGGTGCCAGGTGGGTTCTAAAACTAAGGTTCTAAGTAGGATTGAGACTTGGCTTCAATCCTTTAATGTTTTTGCTTTGGCTGAGTTATGAATCAAGGGAGAGCATTTTAAAAGGACAGACCCAGGAAGGTAGGTCTATAAAACCCCATGAAGATGCAGAATCTATTGCCCATTATTATCTGCCTAATGCATTTAATTTTATTGTGAAACTAAGCAATAACTATTTTAAAACTATTGAACACACATTGACAGTGTAATATGTTGCAGTTCATGTAAAATAAAATTAATCTGTCTTCCTCTGGAAGCAGGGGGCTAACAAAATCCCTCCTCTTCAGATGAAATTGCTGCTACTGGACCAATTTTTGACTTGTAAAACCAGTGATTCCATGTTCAAACTAATGAAAAGATATAGGGAATAATCTTACAGTATCTTGCCTTTCAAAAATTACATCACATAGCTTCTCTGAAAGGTGAGCAGAAAAAGGATGTTAATTATTATAGTAATTTAATCACCTGGAGCCATGCCATAAGTAGGCTCAGCTCTCCACTCCCCAACTCTGTATTCTGTGTAAGTCAAGTTTTGGCTGTTTCCTCAGCATCATGCCCCCTTTCTCATGGAAAAAATTTCCATGAAGCATAAATCTGATGTCTAGGATCTAAGGACCTAAATATACCATAAAGTGAAAATACTGTAAGACAAGCCTACAATGACAACATTCCAATGATTAAGCAGAGAAAAAAGTATACAAATATATTTTCTCAGCACAGTTAGCTGAGAAAAGATTGCCTTGAGTCTTGTGAGATGTACCTGTATACATTTACCACTGTGAAATCCGATCTTAGAAGAAACACCTGCTGGTCTCAGGTAACCTACCTCACACAAGGAAGAGGCATTGTTAAATCAGAGAAACGGTCCCTCAGAGCTTCTAAACTCGGTCAGTTGAGTAATACCCTGACATTAACTATCCAGGGCTTGGACTAGCCCTGCTTACTGCTGCAAAGAGCAGTTTGTTTGAGAAAATTCTCGTTGTCTGTTTACAACGAGGATACTTTCAATGTTGCCTCTACAGTCTCAGTCACAGGAAAGACTTATTAATACTCCAGAACTGGCCTTTTGAAATCATCCAAGTGTTTAACTCAAAACTCCAGATAGATAGCAAATGGGCACACAGATGAATATATCTTCCTAAAATTTTTCTGTTTGGAGTTGTTTATGCATGTTGGTACCTTAATTCTTATTTACTAGCCATTTGAAACAACATACTAGTAAAAATAAGTTTGGAAAGACACACAAGTGCAACTTTAAACGTCAAGTGCATGCCAGCTGATTTTTGAAAATCTCTCAGGTCATCAATTATTACTTCCTATTTACATAATTCCCTTAAAGACAATCTTAAAAACTGGATGTGAAGGCACTCATGCCCTATGCAGTGAGCAAAAATCATATTTTTCAATATTATCTATGTGAAATTCCAACCAGATTTGCCTTCTCCAAAGCCCCTTAAATTCAATTACAGTTCAAAGCAGTTCCTCTTCTTTGCTCAGACATACAGAATGTGCACAGATCACCTCAGTGGATTTCACATATGCTTTAAAGGCCAAAGAAGCAGTGTTTTCTGCCCCATTACTCCCCAGAAAATCTAATTACAATTCAGGTACTGTATGCGATGTAGGCCAGGAGTGGAAGATGGCAAAATCCCTTGAAAATCCGGAAAGAGGCAACCTGCTGCTTTGGAAGAGGAAGGCCTCCTCTCCCAAAGGATGCCGGCCTCTCAATCAGGCTTTAAATCTTACCTGATACGAACAGTTCTCCTGATGTACCATCTCAGTGCATCCTAGGGCGCAGACCCCGAAGCAGGACTGCTCAGCGAGGCTGCGGAGGGAAAGCGCAGAGCATCCACTGGCGGAGAGAACGCCCTGGGAAGGCAGGGGCTCCCCGCAGATTAAAATGGATGCTGTTTCGCTGATCAACCTGCGCAGTGGCACTGCCTGTGCCGGGAAGCGCGCAGCGAGCCGAGCTGCTCTCCTCGGAAACCAGCAGTGAGGCTTACAAACATGGAGCTAGGACTGGGCTGGGGGAGGGGGCGCGCTCATCACTGGCACAATCAGCCAATTATATTATAGGCACAAAGAAAAGGATCAGTCTGGGGCTGGTGTGACCTTCTGGTGCTTTATGAAGGCAGTTAACTGATGTGGAAACATTCTAGTCCTCATTAAAGGGAAAAAGGCCAGCGAGGGAGAGAGAGAAACAGACAGAAACAAATCAATGTTGCAGTTAAGTATTTCTAACCTCCGGCATCATCCTTCCTGCCCAGATGCTGCTTGCATGGTGCTTACAGAGAGGCCCTGCGCATCGTTTCAGAACTTTTAACATGAGAAAGAGAAAACAATCCTTTCTGAATACCGACACTGAAGGGATGTTCTCTGTGTTGAGTGTTTGAAGTGTTTGTCAACTTCATAGCTAAAGGGAGGGGTCTTCATTCTTTTAAACAATATAATTTTGTTAATTCTTTTGCTTTCCTACTTATTTTTGGCTCTTATCTGCTTTTTAAGTCAAACAGAAATAAGATGAAATGATTACTCCTATAATTTTGGGGGGTGATAAAGTTTATTAAAGTATCAAAGTTAGTATATAATTCATTCATTTCATGAAAATGAAACTAAGCTGCAAGTTTTTTTTTGAAAATAAGGCCATATATATATACATTACCCAATGCTGTGACTTGAATATATAGCCACATCCAATATAGCACATGTGCTCTTAGAGATAGCCTTTTTCACCTAAGAGACAGTAATGAAAGGATTCTGGACTTGCAGATAGTAATCAAAGGAAACACAGGTTGGATCATAGCTGTCTCTGGGAAAAAGGGGAGCCAATTTCTGAAATACTTCAGGGCCATTCTAGGATTTTAGGATATATAAAGGGGAAAAATTAGACCTGTAAATTGAAAAAAATTTTTATTTATTAATTTTTATTTATTAGTTATTAATTTTTAAATTTTTGAGGGGAGGTAATTAGGTTTACTAATTTTTATTTATTTATTTATTTTTTAATAGAGGTACTGGGGATTAAACCCAGGACTTCATGCACGCGAAACACATCCTCTACCACTGAGCTATACCCTCCCCCAGGCCTATAAATTTCTGAAGCTAATTTAATGACAGGAAACTTAAAAAAAACACACACAATAAAATTTCCTTATCTATATTCTTCAGTTGCCATAGGCAACTCATTTTGTTGTTTCTTTCTTTTCTTTTTCTTTTTTAATCAGTCATTTTTTTGAGGGGGAGGAGGTAATTAGGTTTTTATTTATTCTATTTATTTATTTTAATGGAGGTACTGGGAATTGAACTCAGGACCCTGGGCACGCTAAGCAGGCGCTCTACCACTGAGCTATACCCCTCCCCCCACCTTGTTGTTTCTCGATAAAATAGCCCTGAGCACATAAATGGTACTCAATAAAATCTTGACTAAATTTAAACTGTCAAATTTGAAAAAATTCAATAGAGACATTATTTTTAAGCTATTTTAATATATCTACATCTATTTAGCTTCTTAAAAATTCTTACTAATAACTGCAAAGTCTTCGTTATGCTACTGATAGAGAAAAACAAGTACTTTCTGCCTGAGGAATGAAGCCAACATGTTTGACAGGTTTTCTTTTGAGCTCTATCTTAAGGAATGCTGAGAGTTTGTGTTAGGACTATTTGGTGATCTATTTTTAATTTTATAGCAACACTCTGTTGCTTGGGGAAAGAGACAAATGGATTTTTCGAAAAATTCTTAATCTTTGCGATTTGAGGTTCTGACAGGAGAAAAGTACGCTACCTGAGTTCAACTCCTGACACACACTCACAAGCCTGGCTGCAGCTTCCTGGTCAGGAGAGTGGAAAGGTGGCAGGGATGGCCCAGCTGACGATGCCACAGACTCACATTTCAGCACCAGCCCATCAGATTCAAAGGAAAAGCACTCTGGACATGCACCCTGCAAAGCTCACAGGCCTTCTCCTTGAGCATAGAGGGCGCTGGGCCACTTAACATGTGCAAGACTTTTTAGGCCTTTTTGTTGGCAGGTGGCACAACGAAAGCTTCGTGAACGAAGCAGAAGCCTGAGCTAGATTATGAGTCTTCTTCTTTTTCCTTTTTTTTTAGTGGAATTAAACCCAGGACCTGGTGCATGCTAAGCGTGCACTCCACCACTGAGCTATTACCCTACCGCTAGATTATGAGTCTTCTTAAAGAGATGAAGGAAAGAGGACAGAAACGCTTCAGGGAAAGGAAACAACACGCAACACACCTCGCGCCCAAACTCCATCCCTCCCGGGAGGTTGAGCAATCCATACAGCACAGAGACAGGCAGAGAGACGTCTGTGGGGAGCGCCCTGCTATACAGCCGCCCAGATGGAGGCTCTGGAATCCTAAGTATGCGCAAGGGAAAAAAAAGTCAGCCAAAGTAAAAGTTGCTTTTGTGAGGTAGCAAATAAGATGAAATGGAGATCTTGGACCTTATCTAGAAGGCACAATCCCAACTTTTCAAGACAAAACAGGTTTACTTCAAAGGCTGTTAAAATTTTCTTCAAGTTACAACTTTGACAATCTATGACCTTAAGACTCAGGAACATGCTTTCAAGCTGGACAAGGCCTAAAAAGTCACTTCCTGGACTCTGTTCTCTTCTGAAAACTGAAGGCTCTGGGATATATTACATAAGCTCCTAAAGACATTTATCATGTGTTATTAAAAAAAGAAGAAGAAGAAGAAGCCTAAACATGATCCCACTCTTCACAGTTGCTAGTCCATAAATAGTGGAAATGACTCAGAGGTGGCTCTGGGGGGAACAGACTTCTGACAATTGTATCCCAAATCCTGTCAAAAAACCTTCTCAAGCGATATAAACAAAACAAAACAAAAAGAAATGTATCAAGCCAGCTTCCCTTTATAGTCATTCATCTGAAAGGACTTTGTGTTATAATTTAAACAGAAACCTTTAAACAGAAACCAGCTGTTCCAAGAACATTTAAACTGGAATAACTTACCAGGCTACAGAAACATTTGTTATTTTTGAACTAAAAAATATTGATGAACTGTTTAAGTATGTCTGTGTAGCAGAGAGATTCTTTTTGCTTCTCAGGTCTTCACAACTTCCCTTCCCATAAAAAGTAGTGGGTTTCAGAATGAGATGGGACCTCAAGAGATACACTGTTATTTTCCAGACATGGAAACTGAGGTCTAAGAAAGTCATGATGTGCCCAAGAACACAAATCCTCCAACAGCAGCAAAAAGGCATCGAAGTAAGAAGAAGAAAAAAACCCTCCAGATTTTCTAGCCTCGCACCTTGTATATTCATATTAAAAAATCCTACATGAGGGCCACCAGACTTGGAGAAATAAACCTCTTTTTTACTGAGCCAATGTAGGCTGGCCTTGAAATCAAAATCTATCATAAGGTAAGGGTGAGGTTACAGAGTGGTTCTACCTAAATCTAAATCCAAGATATGTTTAAAAAGAAAAGGAATTAGAGTATTTCCTCATTAAGTTCCTGTTTCTGCCACCATGCAAACTATTACATCTCTAAATCTAGAAAAGGATTTCTTCATTTGATGGCAACAAAATGAAGATGGCCAACAGACACATGAAAAGATGCTCAGCATCACTAAGCATCCAGGAAATATAAATCAAAACCACAATGAGCTATCAGTTCACACTTTATCCAAATGGCTATCACCAAAAAGACAATGGACTACAAGTGTTGGAGAGGATGTGGAGGAAAGGAAATCCTTGTGCACTGTTGGTAGGGATGTAAACTGGTGCAACCACGATGGAAAACAGTCTGGAGGTTCCTCAAAAAAAAAAAAAAATCAGCCATTCAGCTTCTGGGCATTATTCCCAAGAAAACAAAAACAATAATTCAAAAAGATTTATGCACCCTATGTTCATTGCAGCATTATTTACAGTAACCAAGATATGAAAGCAACGCAAGTGTTCATCTGTAGACTGATGGATAAAGAAGATGTGGCATATATATATATATTTCTCAGTCATAAAAAAGAAGGCAATCTTTTCATTTGTGACAACATGGATAGACCTAGAGGGTATTATGTTAAGTGAAATAGGTCAGACAGAGAAAGACAAATACTGTATGATTTCACTTGTATGTGGAATCTAAAAAACAAAACAAATGGACAAACATAACAAAACAGAAACAGACTCATAGACGCAGAGAACAAACAGGTGGTTGACAGGGGGAGGGGGTGGGAGGGTGAAAAGAAAAAAGGTAACTATGTGAAATAATGAATGCTAATTAGCTTGACTGTGGTCACCACTTCACAATGTATATTTATATGAAACCATCACATTGTACATTTTAAATATATACGAATTTTGTCAATTATCACTCAATAAAGCTGAAAAAAGATTAAAATAAATAAAAATTTAAAATAGCAACAGAATGAGGGTGGCTTTTTTTATAGGACAGTAAATACAGTGGTAAAAAGTCACATCTGCAGGTCATCTGAGCATATGATTTCCCAAGTGACTTACTGGGATCAGGGACTGACCTGGGAAGGGCGTAGAGAGCTTTCTGGCACAAACTGTATGACGTGGTAAGAGTTTGGATTACACAGAGTATACACTGGTCAAAACTCACTGAATAACAGGACTTGTGCATTCCATTGTATATAAAATTTACCTCAAAAGAATAAAAAAGATCTGGTTAACAAATTATGGACTCTAGTTAATGATATGCAGCTGAAGTATCTAGGCGGAGGCTTAGTGATGTCTGCAACTTACTTTGAAATGCATCAAACAAATGAGGTGAACTGATGAAAGGATGGGGGGATGGTGGGATGAAAAGCTGTGAGAAAGCAAGTTTAGTAGAACAGTAGCTGTAGAATCTGGATGGTGCCTAAATGCATATTCACCTAAAAAGCTTTCAGTTTGAAAAAGTTTGTAATGAAATGTTGGGGTTAAAAATGAAGTTAATGGGGGTGGGGAAAATGAGCAAGGAAGTCAGGGTCTTAAGCAGTAACTTTTAAGCTTTTCCTTAGGAATTTGTGGAAAGTAGACAGACATTTTGTAAGCTTTACATTGTGCTTCTTTACTGGACAGTGGATGGAAAGGACTTGTGAGGGAAATTAATCCTGTGCACATCAAGGGGAACTGGGTCCTTGAATGACTGGCCCAGAGAGCATCACAGTCAGTACCACCAATGACAGCAAACCTTAGGAAATGGCTTTACAGTTTACAAAGGACTTTCCCCGACGTCTCCCTTGACTCTTACAACCTTGCAGTTGAAACAAGTTCCTGTTAGTTGCCATGTGTAGAAGTGTCTCGGCTCCCATGGAGTTTGGTAAGGGAAATAAGGCATAAAATGACTGTACACAATGATGAACGAGTGAAGTACCACCAAAGAGATTTTGTTGTTTGCTCACTAGGAATTCAGGAGAGCACGAGAACTCTTAGCCAGGAGACTGCGATAATCTTGTTCATTTGGTTGTTGACTTTTGGAAGGTCTGTCTTTTCTATTTCTAGATTAATGTAAATTTTCTTAGAACTTGGATCTTGGTTGGTTTATTCAGGGCTATTATCCTCAACATTTGAAATAATACCTGGCATATAACAGGCTCTCAATATTTTTGCATGAATGAATAAATGATTTTGACCTGCAGAAAGTTATCTCATTGCTCTCAACTCAGTTTCCTCTTCTTTAAACTAAGGGTGTTAATTCTGGGTTTATGGGGTTGATGACAGGATAAAATGAGAAAAACATGTAAAACAGCTCCTAGGGGCACAGACAAGAAACATAAATGGATTTTTTTGCCCTATTTTATTGAAAGGCAATAACAACAGTCCAAGGAATAAAGAGAGGACTGAAGGATGGTGGTGACAGTGGGAACGGGAAGTTAAAGACAGAAGGATGCAGCCCATGAGACTGTGAGAAATTAACTGACGGCAGGCATCGAAGCGAGCAACCTGGGGGAGTGGACGGGACAAGGATTCATGGGGTTTCGAGACCACTGCTGGAGTAAGCTTGGTGCTGTGAAAAGAAACAGGGACGTTAGAAGGAGAAGCTAATTCTGAGGGGTTGGCTTGCAGTAAGGAGGGCTTTCGTTCTTCATCATAAAGTTTTAAGTTGAAGGTGCAGGAGGCAACTGGGGCTCAAAATGAGAAGTCAGGCCAACAGATAGGATGTGGGGGTCTTTTGCAGGGAGAGGACAGTTGAAGCTGCAGAAGTGGATTGGAGGAAGGGACAGAGTGTAGAGGAAGAATGAATGAGAAAGCAAAGACATCA